CCTGTGCGTTCACGTGCGAGTGAATGTGGCAGAACACTCCTTGATTTTCTCCGTTTTATTATTAGACTTCCATTGTGTTTACGTTTTTATGCTATGTTGGTTAGTTTGCCTTACATAATTAAGCTTTAAATTGGCACAAAAATCGGGGGTGTTACAGGGCAGGGAACCACCCGCCGCCCCACCCGCGGGGTACATGCCTCTCGTGGGTATGGTACCCACGAGTGGAACCACGGGTGGAGGTCCACCCGTGGCCCCACCCGCGGGGTACATATTTGGTGATGTTTGGGAATTTGTTCCTCGTGATTCTTTTGACTCGGTAATTGATGTTTTGACTTCCCGATGTTGTTTTGTTGGGCTATTTGAGTGTCTTCTTGATGTTTCGTATGTCTAGAACGGTATGTTAGGAATCCATGTAGGATTTGATGTCTTGAATCGTGCTAAGTGTTCAACTTTGTGATCCGTTGAACAATAATGAGTCTTGTATGTTCTTTGGAACTATGTTTGGTTTACCCGTTTGATAAGCATGCTAGTTTGATGTTGAAATGCTAGTGTGTGCGGTTTGTTCTTTCCTTTTGAGATTGACAACTTGTGTTGATCATCGTTTGGAGTCGGATTGTAATCCTTCCTTGATGATTATGGTTTCATATCTTTGTTGTGATCCATTGATTGACTCATGTGATGAAAGCGTGTGTATTGGCTGTACCTTGATTGCACGGTTGATGGTATGGGACATTAATCACCAAGGTACAGATGTGGTCCTTGTGGTGGCCATGAAATGATATTGGAGTTATAAACTAGGCTTCAGGCTCATGTGTTGGCGGTTGTGTGATTGAAATGATCGGTACCCTCGAGTACTGCGAGATCGGTGGAAATGATATTGGTGGTTGTTGGAGGGGGAACGACGGTTCCTAGAGGCAAAAGGTTGGATTTGGAAGTACAGGGTGGCACTCGGAGGTAAAGGTTGGAATTGTAATAAGGCCAGGGGTAGGCATAAGGTTGGAACAGGGCATAAGGTTAGAACATGTGACATGTAGTGTCACGGTTGCATGTGGTGCCAATGTGTGAATGTCTATTCCTTTCTGATGAGCATGTCGAGTGGCATCTACTTTGTGATCAGTAGAATACACCTCGAGTTGTACTTGTTTATTGTTGTTGTCTTTGCCTTGATGTTCTCCTACTTCATGATCAGTAGATTACATCTTGAGCTCTGTTGAGTTGTACTGTTGTTGTCTTGTCTTGATGTTGTCTTGGGATTTTGATTTCCCTTGTTCTTTGAGAGTGAAATAGAGTCTTTGCAGTTGACTTCTCTTTATGACTTTAAACTAATATATACTGTAATCCATTTCGAAAATGGTTTTGTATTATACTATCTATATATGCTACTTAACGCGTATTGATGGGTTACCAACAATATTCCCTGACCGGGCGTCGTCCCCTTTCTTTATGTTGCTTTACAGGTCCTGAGTAGATATGACAAGTGCGTTAGCTGTTGGTTGTAGTGTAGCACCCTTGAACCTTGTAGATAGAGTTTTGGGCCTGTGTGCCAAGTTTATGTTGAACAAGATAGTTTGTTGATTTTAGACTTGCCTGTGCATCCACGTTGAGGTGGATGTGGCATAGCACTTCTTGGTTTTCCCGGTTTTAATCTAAGACCTCCGCTGTTGCTTTCGTTTTATGATACCTGTTAGTTGCTTTGCCTTACGTATTTAAGTTTTAAAAATGTCATGAAAATCGGGGGTGTTACAGCACAGCTAGTTACTAACGACGGTGATGCTCGAGTTGCCGGTTGGGAAGACGGGGTTCCCCTTTATATGCTAAAGTTCAAAGACAGTTTGCATTTTCCGATCGCACTTAAGCAATGTCAGAGGAAAGCACTCAATAATTCTCTTAGAATTTGGCATCCACTTTCTTGCTTTTTCAACTCCACCACCATCAACCACCACTCATGTTGCATGCAATATTTAATTTTCATTTTTCTTTGTCCTGCTCTTACTCCACCGCCACTCATTCCCCAATTAAATTGCATGCAATACCAAACCTTTGTCTTTTCCCAGTTCCCAAGCCATCTCAACATCCCTCTCGCATGCCATCCATTCTGAGGATGTTGAGGCGAGACCTTGGATGAAACTGGTGACGGTGGTGACTAAACATGGTGAAAGAGAGGTCTGATGATGAGGACGGGATAACATTAAGCATGGTGGAGGACGATGTCATTTTTGAAACAATTTGCTGAGCTTGAATAGGCTTCTCTCCTCCACTATTAGCGTGATTTCAGTCCAAAGAATGAGGCTTTTTTAGAGCGATGGAGACGAATTCTCTCTCTGAACAGGTTCCGCCGGATACGACCGATCGGTCGCCGGAGGACCAAGAACTGCTGGAACGAAGCACTAGAAAGACAAAGAGGCTAAGAGAAAACCCAGATTCAGCCATCCCTGCCCGAAGTGAAGACACACCCATGAGAAACACTCTCCCGGTAGAGACCTCCACGCTGGACTCCAGCCGGTGGACAACTCCGGCGGTGACCCCCAGCCAAGCTTGGATTGAGAGACGTAAGAGCGCTTGTAACACCCCGTGTTACGATCCCTAAGATCAATTAAACCATTTAATCAATTACCCAAAAGAAAGAATTAAATCACAATAATTAATTAGGAAAGGCCCACCATAGTCCATGGGCCTTATCCCTAAACCCAATCCTTAGTCCCAAAAGAAATAAAATTAGCAAGCCTATAATATTAGTTCCTAACTAGGACTCCTAAATATATAAATAGGGGACTTAAGAGGCACCTAGAAACCCCCCACCACAATAAACGCCCCACCACCCCAAAGAGCTCCAAGAATCCCCTTAGAAGAAATCAAGAAAGCAAGAAAGCTTAAAGAAAAACCCTTCATAGCCAAGGAATTAATTAAGGCTAAGAGGTAACCCATGTCTCAACAAAACCTATTTTCATAGTTATGATTCCCCCTTAGGATCCCCCATATTATTGTATGTTGATGATTCGTTATATTGGTGTTATGATTCCATTGATATTCTTGATGATCTTGACGATGATGGATTCTTGATAATTATGGCGTTCTTGATGAGTAAATGACGTTCTTGATAATTACATGGTGTTCTTGATGTTCTTAATGATTATATGAGGTTCTTGATAGTTATATGATATTCCTATCGAATCTTGATTTTGGAAGATGAATTGTGTTCTTGTTGGTTTAAAAATAATTAGAACCCTAGGTTATATCGTGGAATTCGTATGGTGTTATTCTTGGTATATTGGGTGGGATTTCGCATGATTGGGTGTTTATTATGATTAGAAAAGCATGATAGGTTATGTGTCGTTTGTTTCTTGATTTTGATCCGTTAATTGTCTACGTGTGTTATCAATAGCGTTTGAAAGTGTCTGAGCATGGTCTCGGGTTCCACGAAGGTTCCCGGGGCGTTTTTGGGTGTTAATGAGTCAGTGGGGGGTAGGGGACCCGCCACCTACCCGCGGCCAAAAAGGGGCAGCTCCGGCAGCGGGCAGCCGGCGGGCGGGCAGCTGCCCGCGGGCACCCGCTGCCCGGAACAGTAACGCCGGCGGGCAGCCGGCGGGTGAACCCTCACCCACCGGCTACCCGCTGAAAATTCCCACACTCGGGACCCCGGCTTCCCCGTTTGATGTTTCCCCGACCCCCATGGTGTCCCAACGGACTCCGTCTATCGTGCCTATGTCTAGTTTGATGTTTCGGGTACCGTTCGTAGGTTGTATGAGTCTTATATATTGCATGCTAGTTGAATTGGTATCCCGTTGACCTAGGTATAAGAAGTATGAACCCCTTAGGAGTATTCCTAGTTGGGGATGACCACGCCTAGGTTTCGTTATACGTTTTCCCCCTCCCCAATGTGTTAATATGGGATGCATGTGCTTGCTATGTGTTATGTGTGCATGTTACCCCGATTTGGTTGAGACCAATCGGGCTATACGGGCAGTCGGATGGGCTGAGAACCATGCCGGCTGTTAACCAGGCTGGTAAAGACCGGTCAGGTATATAAATATTATATAGGACTAAGTTCCACTATACGGGCAGTCGGATGGGCTGAGAACCATACTGGCTGTTAACCAGGCTGGTAAAGACCGGTCAGGTATATAAATATTATATAGGACAAAGGTCCACTATACGGGCAGTTGAATGGGTTGAGAACCATCCCAACTGTTAACCAGGCTGGTAAAGACCGGTCAGGTATATAAATATTATATAGAACTGCGGTTCATCAGTCGGTTGCGATCGACTCCTCCGTAATTTTGAGACGGGGCAGGGTGCTGCGGGGCCGTGTCAGAGCTATATGCGCTGATCCTCATGTATGGGCATGCGATTGGTCCTGTGGCGCCAACAAAGTGTGCTATGTGATGAGATGACAAGAATTGATGATGTGACTGTTATGGAAACGTGACCATAGGACTCTTACTAGTAATGCTTAATTGTGATCGTTGGTTGTGCTTATCTATAACTGTTCCCTATGTGAGGATTGTTCATGCTTGATTATGACTATTGATTGTGTGTACCCCTATCTGTCGAGTCGGTTCCCTGATTTGAAAACTAGAGTCTCGTAGGATATATCTTCATGCTTCGAAATGACTTTTCGTATAACTATGTATATATGTATATATGTATTGTATTTTAACGCGTTGGAGTGGGTTACCAGCATCTCTCGCTGAACAGATATATTTGGCTTTCAGGCACAGAAGAATAAGTCACTGGAGCACGCTAGTGCTTGAAACGAAGAAGTAGCTAGTTTCCCTTTCGGCCTGCGTGCCATGTTTATGCATTTACATTATTGAGACATTAGTTAGTTAGCCTGTGCACCTGAGTTCTCTAGCTCAGGTGTGGCATAACACCTCGTACTCTGGTACTCTGTTTGGGATTTAATGAGATTTGACCTTTATTTTATAAGTTTTAAATATCTTGAAAATCTGGGGTGTTACAGCACTGTAGTAGATACCACGAATGACTCAGATGATGACATAATGACCGAAGAATATTTACAGTCTGAATACCCGGTGATTTTGGTATCGAAAAAAGAAAAGGAAAGACTTCGTAGGCCTTGGAGAAGATCGCTCATCATCAAACTTTTGGGTAGAACAGTGGGATACAACTTCTTGTTGCAAAGATTACAGCGGATGTGGAGAACAGATGCTGCCTTCGACTTAATATCCCTAGATCAAGATTTTTTTCTAGTAAGATTTGAAAACCTAAAAGACTATGAATCTGTGAAATTTGGGGGTCCATACTTGGTGCTAGGCCATTATCTTATCTCCCAGGAGTGGGTACCTAACTTTGTCCCAAAGAACAACAAGGTGCGCAAGATGCTAGTCTGGATAAGGTTCCCTGCTTTTCCCAATGAATTCTTGAAGAGAATAGGAATGCAAATTGGAAGACCGATCAGAGTCGATACTACTACTAGCCTGGCCTCCAAAGGCAAATTTGCAAGGGTATGTGTGGAGGTGGATATCACAAAGCCACTTGTCTCCAAATTTGTTTTGGACTTTCAAGAATGGCCTATTGAATATGAAGGTTTCCACATGGTGTGCTTCGACTGTGGACTTTATGGACATCGCCAGGATCAATGTGGCAAGGAAAATCCCATCACTGAAATCTGCCAAACAACAGGTGAAAAAGAAATGACTATTGAGAACAGGCCGAACGCAATAAAGCAAGGACCGCCGGGCAAATATGGAGCGTGGATGCTGGTGACAAGAAAAGACCGAAGAAATTAGAACAAGAATAAGAATTCTGTAACACCTGCCTACCAAGATACAAGGCATCAACCCACCACGAAGGGCAAGGAACCAGCAGTGGAAGGATTCGCCACTCAGTCAAGATTCTCATCTCTTGCGGACATAGAAGAAAACCACCAGACTGCACCTAACCTTCAACCCGTGATGCAGCCACAACATTACCAGTCTCAACCTGTGATGCAGCCACAACACCCCCAGTCTCAACGTTCACCAAAATCCAGAACGAACAACTTGCCTTCCCGAAGCACACCCGACCGCAATCAGCTTGCTAATCATAAACCCCAACACCCCTTTCTTTTTCAATCTCTACCCAGAATCAGAACACCAGCCAGACCGGCAATCATTGGGTTTGAGCAAATAGACATCTCAACAGAGCAAAGACCAAGAGCTCCAGCAGGAACCCCTCGATACCAAAGAAAAGGAACTCGGGGTGGATTCAAAGGTCGGGGTGGCAGAAATGTCACTCCTAACCAAGCGGCGGCAGAGATAGAACATACCGTGGTCCATGGAACGTATGAAGGAAGGAACATCTCTACAACGATTGTTCAACACGAAGAAGGAGCCTCCTTGTAACACCCCGTGTTACGACCCCTAAAACCAATTAATCATTTAACCAATTATCCAAAGAAAGAATTAAATTACAATAATTAAATTGGAAAAGGCCCACCATAGTCCGTGAGCCCTCTTCTCTAAACCCAACCCCTAGTCCTAAAAGGAATAGAGTTAGCAAGCCTATAGTATTTGGGCCCTAATTAGGACTCTTAGATATATAAATAGGGGACATAGGAGGCACCTAGAACCCCCACCACAATAATCTCTCACCACACAAGAAGTTCCAAGAATCCCCTTAGGAGAAATCAAGAAAGAAGAAAGCTTAAAGAAAGACCCTTCATAGCCAAGGAATTAATTAAGGCTAAGAGGTAACCCATGTCTCAACAAAACCTATTTTTATAGCTATGATTCCCCTCTTAGGATTTCCCCCTATTCTTGTGTATTGATGATTCGTTATATTGTTCTTGATGATTGGTGTTATGATTCCATGGGCGATCTTGATAATCTTGTTGATGAAAAGGGATTCTTGATGATTGTGTGATTCTTGATGGAACCTAGTTTCTTGATGGTTATGTGCCATTCTTGATTGTTTTTGATGTTTAAAGAGGAATCGTGTGCTTGTTAAATTGGATGTGTCTAGAGCCCTAGGCTGTATCGTGAAATTCGTATGGTGTTATTCTTGATGTATTGGGTGGGAATTCGCATGTTCGGGTATTAATTATGTTTAGAAAAGCATGATAGGATATGTGCCGTATGTTTCCTGCTTTTGATCCGTTAAATTGTCTACGTGATGTTATCAATTGCGTTTGAAAGTGTCTAAGCATGGTTCCGGGTTCCACTAAGGTTCCCGGGGCGTTTTTGTGATGAAAGAGTCAGTGGGGGGTAGGGGACCCGCGGCCAACCTTGAAGTCGCCGGCAGCGGGCAGCCGGTGGGCAAGCGACTGCCCGCCGGGCACCCGCTGCCCGGAACCACTACGCCGGCGGGCAGCCGGCGGGTGACCCCTCACCCACCGGCTACCCGCTGGATTTTACCCCACTTTGGGATTCCGGCTTCCCCGTTTGATATTCCCCCGACCCCCGTGGTGTCCCAACGGACTCCGTCTATCGTGCCTATGTCTAGTTTGATGTTCGGGTACCATTCGTAGGTTGAATAAGTCTTATATATCGCATGGTAGTTGAATTGGTATCCCGTTGACCTAGGCGTAAGAAGTATGAACCCCTTAGGACTATTCTTAGTATGTGAATGATCACGCATAGGTTTTGTTATACGATTTCTTCCCTCTCCAATGTGCCTATGTGGGTTGCATGTGTTTGCTATGTGTTATGTGTGCATGATACCCCAATTCGGTTGCGATCGAATTGGTTATTCCTGAGCTGCGGTTCAGAAGCTGGCTGCGGTCAGATTTACACTCTCGGGCTGCGGTCCACCGTTTGGTTGCGATCAAATGTTTTACATGAGCTGCGGTTCATATTCCTGGCTGCGGTCAGATGACTACTCTTGGGCTGCGGTCCACTGTTTGGTTGCGATCAAACTATGATGAGCTGCGGTTCATCGGTCGGTTGCGATCGACCCCTCCGTGTTGCGATACGGGGCAGGGTGCTGCGGGGCCGTGTCAGAGCTATATGCGCTGACCCTCATGTATGGGCATGCGATTGGTCCTGTGGCGCCAACAAAGTGTGCTATGTGATGAGATATGGGTGATTGGATTGTTATGAACGCGTGACCCTAGGATACATGCTAGTAACTGTATATGCTTGTTTATGACTATTGGCTGTGCTTATCTGTATTTGTCGTATCTGTTCCCTACACCTGTGAATTGTGCATGCTTGGTTATGACTGTTGGTTCTGCTTATCCATATCTGTCGAGTCTATTCCCTGTTTTGAAAGCTAGAGTCTCGTAGGATATATCTTCATGCTTCGAAATGGTTTTTTCATATATCTATGTATATATCTATATGTAATGTATTTCAACGCGTTGGAGTGGGTTACCAGCATCTCTCGCTGAACAGATATATTTAGCTTTCAGGCACAGAAGAGTAGACACTGGAGAGCGCTAGAACCGTGGAGCGTAGAAGTAGATAGTTTCCCCTTTCGGCCTGCGTGCCATGCTTATGCTTTTAGCTTGTTGAGGATATTAGTTAGTTAGCCTGTGCACCTGAGCTCTCTAGCTCAGGTGTGGCATAACACCCTGTACTATTTATTTTATGTCTTGAGATTTAATGAGAACTTACCTTTATTATATAAGTTTCAAAAGTTTAAAAATTTCGGGGTGTTACTGTTGGTATCAGAGCCTAAGTTTGACCCTAGGATAAGACTTTTAAGATTGAACTTTAAGACATTAGGCTTGAACTCTAGGTACTTAGGGACATAGGACTCAGGAAGCTTAGGACGCACGGTGAGATTGTGAAACCTACACATAACCCTCCCTCACTTACTTAAAGAAAACTCCCCCTCCGCTTATCGCATCAAGGTAAGAATGCAAAATAACATCGACCTATGAACACCAGGATGACACCGAAAAGGAGACAAGTAGGAACACCGAAACTCCCCACTCAGGAATTCTTGACTCAGAATCTACAACGCCTGGCCCAAATTGCCCAGACACTGAGTACTACCATTCCCCAACCTTTACCAACAAACGAGAACTTGGAAATCCACCACCAAGTTTCGGCACACCAACCACCCACCTTCTCAGGGAACGAAGACCCCACGATCCTCGAGGAGTGGATCGGAACTTTTGACAAGATATTCAGGGCAACTGAATGCCCAGAAAACCACCAAGTCAGAATAGCCTCCTTCTACCTCAGACACGAGGCCGACACCTGGTGGGCTCCCGAGGGACCCACATACGAACAAAGCCCCGAATTCAACTGGGAAACGCTAAAAACACGGCTGCGAGAACAATTCTACCCCGACCATCTAAAAGCCACCATATACGAAGAGTTTCTCCACCTAAAACAAGGGGCAACCCCGATCACAGAATACTACCAGCAATTCCGCAGACTGGCTCGCCTCACCCCCGAGCTAGTACCCACCGAGATGATCAAGGTCAAGAAGTTCATAACAGGCCTTGATCCCGAACACCAGAAAGCCCTGGCCACACAAGAACCAAGGACCCTCGGGGAAGCCTATGCCAAGGCATTCCAACTACAACAAGTAACAAACCAACCCCGGGAGACACACCTTGTAACACCCCGACATTTTTAAACTTTTGAAGCTTATATAATAGAGGTGAAATCTCATTAATTCCCAAAACATAATACAAAGAGTACCAGGTGCTATGCCACACCTGAGCTAGAGAACTCAGGTGCATAGGCTAACTAACTATTATCCTCAATAATGTAAATGCATAATCATGGCACGCAGGTCGAACGGGAAATTAACTACTTCTACGCTTCAAGGTTCTAGCGCGCTCCAGTGTCTACTCTTCTGTGCCTGAAAGCCAAATATATCTGTTCAGCGAGAGATGCTGGTAACCCACTCCAACGCGTTGAAATACAATATATATATAGATATATACATAGATATACAAAAAACCATTTCGAAGCATGAGGATATATCCTAAGAGACTCTAGCTTTCAAAACAGGGAATAGACTCAACAGATAGGGCTTAGCACAGACAACGGACATAACCAAGCATAAACAATTCACAAGCATATGGAAACAGGCAAGGCAGATAAGGATAAGCACAGTTAATATCCATAACCCAACATATACTATTCCCGGCATAAATCCCGAAGTCACCTCCCGAGACGCTCATAACGACAACTCATCCATATCTCATCACATAGCGCACTTTGTTGGCGCCACAAGACCAATCGCATGCCGATACATGAGGGTCAGCGCATATAGCTCTGACACGGCCCCGCAGCACCCTGCCCCGTATCGCAACACGGAGGGGTCGATCGCAACCGACCGATGAACCGCAGCTCATCATAGTTTGATCGCAACCAAACAGTGGACCGCAGCCCAAGGGTATGTCATCTGACCGCAGCCAGGAAATATGAACCGCAGCTCATGTAGAAACGTTTGATCGCAACCAAACGGTGGACCGCAGCCCGAGAGTGTAAATCTGACCGCAGCCAGCTTCTGAACCGCAGCTCAGGAATAACCAATCCGATCGCAACCGGATTGGGGTATCATGCACACATAACACATAGCAAGCACATGCAACCCAGATTAACACATTGGGAAGGGGGGGGGGGGGGAAACGTATAACAAAACCTATGCGTGATCCTTCACATACTAAGAATAATCCTAAGGGGTTCATACTTCTTTCACCTAGGTCAACGGGATACCAATTCAACTAGCATGCAATATATGAGACTCATACAACCTACGAACGGTACCCAAAATATCAAACTAGGCATAGGCACGATAGACGGAGTCCGTTGGAACGCCACTGGGATTGGGGGAACATCAAACG